GTCGTCTATTTGGTTATGATTCTTCTTTAATGAGGTCAGGCTGGGAACCGTCTGCCTGGGCCGCCCGCCCGCCCGCCCGGGCTGGAGGGCAATTAACCGGAGACCAACCTCTTAATTAGGGTTTCCCCTGCGCAAATCTCATTTGGTAAATTCCTTATCATCCCCGGCTCGAGACGGGATTGAGCCCCCCCGGGACCTCTCAGAGAGTCCCCCCAGAGGCCGCCCAGCCTCCCCCAGGAAGGGCTGCGGGAGGGACCCCCTTTCAGGGTTAATTAATCAGAAAACGTCGTGGAGCCTGTGGATTCGGGGAGCTTGGTCTGCCACCTTCTAATTCCCCGCCACCCCTTCTGCCTCCCTTCTGGGTCTTTCTTTTCCCTGGAGAGCGAGGGGTCTGCACCCCGCCCTCCCTTCCCCAACCTGCCTGTCTTTGTGCAGAGGTTCCATTTTCCTTCCCTTTCTTAAATGCGAGTGCAGCCCGGAGTGGAAATGTCAGGGGTCACTCCTCAGGCGGAGGGGGCAGGGGGCCCCGGGCCACCTCAGCTGCTGTCTGTCCCCTTCCAGAGACCAGAGCTGGACTTAACCCTTTGGAGCCCAGCGCCCGCCCGCCCAGGAGCACGAGGCCTTTCTTCCCTGGAGTCCAGGGACACGGCCACTGGGTCCCCCTCTGGAGGTGTCAGGCTACAAATCACTTCTGTGGCCGCAGGGGGGGCAGGCACGGTGGCCTTCCCTAGAAGGAGGCCCGCCCTTTGCATTTTTTTGGGGTGCGCGTGGAACCTGCGGTGTGTTGGGGACCAGGGTGGAGATGTCACCCGTTCAGACTCAGGCCCGGCCACGCGCCTGGCCTCTGCCCCATCAGCAGAGAGGTTCCGATTTACAGGTGGGAGGAGGGGGGCCTCTGCCCCAGGAAGGGGTGGAATCAGGGCCCCGCTGGGTTCCCAGACCTGCACCTGCAGTTTCTGCTTATCCAAGCCCCCAGATCCAGGAGAGGAGAAGCCTGAGGTCAGAGTGGCCCCCAGATGCCCACGCCCTTCTGTGGCCGTGGAAGGATCAGGGCTGTTGGTGTGGCCCGTGGACCCTCCTGCCCCTGGGAAGCCGTGGACCCCTTTTACAGGTGACAGAGCCTGGCGGCAGGTGGCAAACCCAGATCTGTCCCCTCCTTCTTCCTGTCTGCCAGCTGGGCCAGGCTGCCCCTGGCACGGGGACCCCGCTGCAGGAGAAGCAGCTCTCAGCTCAGGTCTCAGGGCCTCCGTCACCTGGGAGCTGTGTGCACAAGAGCAGCCTAGACAGGTGGCCTGGGCGGGGGGACTCTGGAGGGCACAGGTGACGCAGGACCGGGCCTTTTGCTACCGATCGTGGGTGTCCTCCCGGGGCCTCAGTTCCCTCCCCTTTGAAGGAGGACCTTGGCGGGGTCAGCCCCCCGGGGGTCTGGGACCCTGAGCCCACTCCTCACATAGAGCTTCATGGTCAGCAGCGCGCACCCCTGAGCTGCCACACGGCTTAACTGTTGCTGTTGTTACTCGTTCCTGAGGGTGGAGAAGAAAAAGAAATGTCAGTGTCAACAAAGTCCCCAAGGGAAGAAGTCCCCCAAAGTCCTCCGAGAGAGCGCTGCTGCAGCCCAGCTCAAGGGTTAGGCCTCTGACCTGGGGCTGTGTGACGCTAGGCTGGTAACTTGACCTCTCTGTGCTGTGGTGATGGGTGCACCATCCTTGATCAGCGGTGGGCTGAGTCTGAACTCTGAGCCTGCTTTGCTGCTTTGTCCTGAGCTGGGCGGCTGCTTGGGGATCCTCCCCATTGACTGGGCCTTGGTTTCCCCATCTGGAATGGGGAGGCTGCGGTGAAGCTTAGGAGCAAGGGCATTGCCCAGACAGGTTTCCCGGCCTCGGGGGCCACTCCGGCTCACAGATGGTTCTTTTCTTCTTTTCTTTTCTTTTTGGTGCAGGGGATTGAACCCAGGGCCCTGGACCTCCACCCCAGCCCTCGCTGAGTTTTATTGAGAGTCAGGGTCTCCTGAGCGGTTAGGGCCTCGCTGTGGCTCAGGCTGGCTTTGAACTCGCGTCCTCAGAGACGGCTCTTACACCAGGGGAGAGCGGGTGCTGCTCGGCTCTGAGGGTGGGGGTCCGAGCCCCGGAGCTGACCCCGTTGTGGGTCGGGGTCCGTCCTCTGGTGTGCTCAGGGACTCCTGTCCGTCAAGGGCCAAGGGGACGTTTGGGGCCTGGGTTCGGTCCAGCGCCCTCTCCCCTGCGGCCCGCGGGGTCCCACTGCTACGCCTGCCTCAGTGTCCCCTTCTGTACAATGGGCGCTGGTGCCCCACT